TACTAAAACATACAGCAACAAGTTTGTGCATGTTATATTGTTTATATCATGAGCACAACCAGGAACGTGATATAATGATATCAAAATAGTGAAATAAAAAATATATACAGGAATAAAAGACTGGTAGAACATTGAGACATGCTGTTTCACTGCCACGTGTTAGAGAAGGTCAATGATCTACTCTTCAATGGCATCAGGTTTCTGTACTTAAGAAAGTTCATTTGGTGGCAGCATCTGTTACTCACACAGCTTATGTGACTTCAGTGAATAATAATTAAGAAATAAAGATCACACAGCAAAAAAGGGGGCCAAATGTCTTTCCACTCAGGTTAAAAAAAAACACTTTTTCACCCGATCAGGATATACTAATGAATAAGGGATTTTATACAGGTGTGTAGAATATGATCTGTTTTTTTTCCTGTTTCAGGTATCATGTATGCAGATTCTTTTATATGATAGTTTTGATTATGTATAGATATTTCTGTAGTAAGCAAACATAAATAGCATTAGATCTCTAGATTAAAGCTGAATCCCATGCAGATATAAAATACAAAACATATTGCATTTTGTATTATTGCAAACTACTGCCTTAAATGTATTTTTTTTAAATGCAAGCAGTGTAAGTACCTGAACCTGTAAAACAGTTCTATTGTATGTATTTATCTATTTGCCTGGGGCTCAGCTTTAAAAAGAAATTTAACAAAAATTTGTTTTTGTTTGAATATACAGGATTGGAACCACTGTCAGGTATTTATTGCGGTAATTGTCCCCCAGGAAACTTAGGCTCCTTTCACATGGGCTGATCAGGAGAGGATCCATGAACGGATCCTCTCCTGATCACAGCAGTACAGAGCGGTGGTGGTACGATGGAGGAAAAAACTGCTAAGAGGCCAGCAGAGAGCAGCCTGAAGACCATTACACCCAAAAAATAGCATCAGATGAGGCCTGAGCATCCATCTGGTAAAACTTAACAAACGTGTGAAGAGAGGACCAGGTGGCAGCCTTGCAAATCTGGGAAACAGATGCCTGATGCTAAAAAACCCATGAAGCACTTACAGATCTGGTAGAATATGCATAAACAGGGAAGGGTGGTACCTTATGCTTTAGACTATAGGCTTGAATGGTGAGTCATGTAATCTACCCGGCAATAGTGCAATCAGAGTCAGAAGGTCCCCTATGGGAATGAGTGAATCTGATTGTCTAAAATAAACTGCAGCTGAGAGGTATACTCCCACACTCAGGCAATGGAGAGAGTTTCCCCTAGAATATTTTGGAGCAGAACTTAGGAAAGAAAGATGAATGTCCTAGTTAAGGTGAAAAGAGATGGCCACCTTGGTAAGAAAAGAGGAATTATGCCTCAAGACAACCTTATCTTTATGTAGCAATAGGAAGCGCTTTTTACAGGATAAGGCCGAGACTCAGAGACTTGCAGAGGTGTTAAGCAAAACTTGAGACTTGCAGAGGTGTGCCATGATGCCTTTCTACTGTTTTACTGTTCAAAGCCCATTTCGTGTGCACCTTACTGTATAAATGGTAACAAATTGTTGAGTGCGTTTGTCGTTTGTTTTGCTTGACCGATTTGGTGCAGCGACGCATGGGGTTTCTCAGCTGCCATTGGGATGTGCGGGATCCCTTGTGTGTTTCTGTGCTTTTAAGGAGGTTGGGCGTCCTCCTGACAAACCTGCACCCAATTTGAAATCTTCTGCCCCCATGTGCTCCAAGATGGAGACTCTCATAGTTTAGAGTTAGGACTGCACTATAAGAGGTGCCTTCGCGTGGCAGTGCGGCTTTCACATCCTCTGCAGAAGACGTGTATCCAAACCTCTGTTATTATCCTTAGTGGTGAGACAAGCTGTTTTACATGCTGGTTTGTGAGTGTGCCATGATGCCTTTCTACTGTTTTACTGTTCAAAGCCCATTTCGTGTGCACCTTACTGTATAACTGGTAACAAATTGTTGAGTGCGTTTGTCGTTTGTTTTGCTTGACCGATTTGGTGCAGCGACGCATGGGGTTTCTCAGCTGCCATTGGGATGTGCGGGATCCCCTGTGTGTTTCTGTGCTTTTAAGGAGGTTGGGCGTCCTCCTGACAAACCTGCACCCAATTTGAAATCTTCTGCCCCCTGGGCTCCAAGATGGAGACTCTCATAGTTTAGAGTTAGGACCGCACTATAAGAGGTGCCTTGGCGCGGCAGTGCAGCTTTCACATCCTCTGCAGAAGATGTGTATCCAAACCTCTGTTATTATCCTTAGTGGTGAGACAAGTTGTTTTACATGCTGGTTTGTGAGTGTGCCATGATGCCTTTCTACTTTTTGCAGAGGTGTTAGCCACAAAGATTTGAAAACTCAACAGGTTCCTTTGCTATCAATAATTATGCATGACATCTGCCAGGACAGTCATTGCTTCAACCAGTTGTTTCCAAGAACCACCTCCACTCCTTACGGTCTGCAACCTTTCAATGTTGGTGGTGCTCATGGTGATCACACGGATGGCGCAAAACTCAGGGTAATCTCAGCAGGTTACTATGTCGCTCTAATGAAGGGTCCCTGCAAAGGTCCCGAAACGTTAACTTCTAATGACATGCTGTGACATTCTTCAATAAACATATCAAAGAGATATTGATATCTGAACGTATCTTTGTGTGTGCCGGTGATCTGCTGAGATTGCTTCAACCAGGGTATCTTCTTTGCTGTTTTGGAGGGACAGAGTTTTATTTACGGGTGAGGCCAGTCACCATTCAACACAGGCTTTAAAGTCGAGTTTACAGGGAAGATTATTGCTGGCTGAAGCAGTTTCAGTGAGCCTAAGCCGGTAAACCTTGGTCAGGCATGTGCACACTGGATCAATAAGGAAAGAAATGGTATCCTTTAGTTTTGGAGAGATGTTTGCAGATTAAATTGTTTTTCCACTTTCGCAGTCAAATTGAGATAACACCTATTTTATATTTGTAACGTGCTCTCATTCACATAGCATAAGCTTAAAAAAATAAAATGCTTCTTGCAGTTTAAATTGCTTTTACTTGGGTTAGGGATTTAAGGGTTACAATTTCTTCCTGCTTCTATTTCTTTGAAATGTTAGGAGAGGCTTTGAGGGGTGAGATGTCTGAGGTGACGTGTACATTGTATGTTAATGAAGCTTATCAAATAAACACAATCCTCGAACTTCAGTCTCAAGTCTTTCCATTAGGACAGATCACTGTGAAAGGGCTAAGAAAAACCCAGAATCAGCCATCTTGCCTGCTGTAACAAAACATCGAAAAGGTAAGATTTTTTGTTTTAAGTTATTTTTCAGAATGCTGTGTGAACAGAAACACATAACGAACATATAAAGGGGTTTTCTCAAATATGACTGCAAAGGTGGAAATATACTTGAAGCATCCTCCAGGAATGAAGCCTCAAAAAAGAAACTCAAAGAGATAAACGTCCATCACCTAGGGACACTAGCAGAAAACTTAGGCTTGCTGGAGTGCAAGGTGTTATATGGGGCTGTCCTTACACCTTTTTTTGCCAGTGTCCAATCATCTGAAGGTAGCTGCATAAAACCCAGTAGTCTAAGACTGATTCTGTGTTTTGTGATGTACGATTCAGAAAGCACCTTTTTTAAAAAAAAGAGGAGATCCTCTGTCAGGCTTTTACTGCTTTTGTTTAGTGTCCTTATCAGGCAGATTCTGCCTCTCTACCTAAGTGGTCATTAGGGACACTAGGGACACAGCCTGCATTAGAAAACCAACTTAGGTTCTAAATATTGCCCATGCTATTCAAAGTGTAAAAAAAACCTCATGTTCTACTTTAAAAGGATATTCATTAGGTTCTGACACTGCCCTAGACCTCTGTAAGCAAGTAAAACTTAATTCAGCCTTCCTTAAGATCTCAGAAACATCAAGAAAACTTCAAGAGTTTGTAGCCATGTCCAGCAACAAATCCCATCAGAAACCAGGAATTATATGCACCAACAACGGAGGGGAATACATCAGTAAGGAAGTAGAATCCCATCTGAAGAAACAAGGTATAGTACACCAGACCACCACACTATACACTCCTGAACAAAATAGTGTAGCAGAATGGAAAAATTGCACTCTTATAGAATTGGCCAGATGCATGCTGTCAGACGCCAACCTACCTAAGAAGTACTGGGCAGAAGCAGTCATGACAGCAACATACCTACAGAACAGACTACCTTCAAAAACTGTTGAAAGCACCCCATTTGAAATGTGGCATGGATCGAAGCCTAGCCTAGGACACATCAAAGTGTTTGGATGTAAAGCTTTTGCCTATATTTCAAAGAAGAAGCGATCCAAGTTGGAGAATATAGCCATTGAAGGTATTCTGGTGGGCTATAGTGAACAAAGTAAGGGATATAGAATTCTCTAACCAAAAACTGACAAAGTGACAATAGGCCGCAGCGTTTGTTTCAATGAGAACCCATCACCAGAAACAATGATCCTGGCAAGTTGTGAAGTGAATTCGCCCATTGAACCAGCAAAGGAAGCTGAGCAAAGTGAAGCTGCACAGGAATCAGAACAAGAGGTGGAACTCATCATGGATAAGTCAAGTTCCATGTTAAATTCTGCTGAACAACCTGAAATTAGAAGACCCACTCGGGCAACAAAGGGAATACCACCCTGCAAGCTGTCATATACTGCTAAGACAAGTTTTATTTGTATATGTTTTCTTCTCCATGGTGTCATGGTATATATGTTTCCTGTTGATGCTGTATTTCTGTATACACAGATGTAATGTCCTGCTAAGCAAGTAAAACTTAATTCAGCATTCCTCAACATCTCAGTGCTTCATCTAAACACATAACCAACACAGTCAGCCACTTATTAGGTAGTGAGGCACAAACTGAGATACCAGATGCATGCACCGTTGAAAGCAAGTACTGAACAGCAATCTCCATATTTCAATTTGCATCAGGTTCACTTTATGTGAAACTGTTGCTTAGATGTAAAACAGCAAATGAAGAATAAAAATGAAACAAAGTTTAGTGATTTGACCATACCTGTAGTTCTCCTTCCATAACACTGAGCAGCTTCACAAGATCCTCTTTGGTTGGATCATTTAACCTCCTGTTTTTCTGATCATCAGTGTCTGCAGATTTTCCATATCTTTTAACTGTTCCAGAGACCTGCACGTCTCCCTCCTTATTTCTGTGCATTTTATTCCTGTGTTTGCCATCTCCACTGAGGTTTTCCGCCTCTATGGCATTGCCATTGTTACAGTTCACATTTCGCCCAATGGTTGAGCTTTCTGCACCTTGATTTCGAGATCTCATGCCCACCTGTGGTTCCAAAAAAGAAAACAAAAAGATTTAGCCACAAGTTTGTATAGATTTATGTATGGGACAACATATGTATTACCTGCCTCTAAACTACCATTTACCATTTAAACTACCATATTCTGTGACAATAAAGGTGTTCTTTTTATCATTAAGGTAAAAATAAACCCTGTAAACCTTTTTCAATAAAGACTCCTGATTTAGCAAATACACATTGCCCCACAAAATATTTCTTTACATTTTTGCCCAAACACATACCGTCATCATGTCTCTAATAAGCTGGCTCCAACTCTCTCAGCTCCACTTCCCTGAACTTCCTATCCAGTACAAGATCACAAGGTACAGAGTTGTCTCCAGTAGATTGAAGAAGGGAGCCAGGAGGAGCAGTGAGCAGGGAAGTGGGTTACTTTGCTGTGCCTGTGTATTTGTGAAGACACACAGCTTACTAGCACAAACAAGGGTCCATGCGACCCTTCCAGGGAAAGTAGCCACCCTAAAATAGGATATCAGGGCCAGTGCTCAGGGGACCAGCTGATTCTGCAGGAAACTAAAACTTGTAAAGAAGCAGCATCCATTGTAAGTTATTTCCTCAGCATTTGAAATAGCTTAAATGTTATTTGACTTTAATATCAGTTTAAACTAGTACACTGTTGTAATCAGTTTATAAAAGAAAATGAAGTTGTAAGACCTGCTTCAGTATACACTCAGGATCTGTCTGTTCTTGTTCTTTCTGGTACTTTCATTAACACCTGCACTTGTTGTACCTCAACCACCTTAAATATTCTAGCTGCCTCGCCCTTGCACACCTGTTTCTGATCTCTCATCAGCCTCCTGGTTATTTATGTTATTGCTACTTCTGTATGAGGCTGCTAAAGTATTTTATCTATGTCAGAGTTTGATTCTCTAGCCTTCTTGTTCTCGGCTTGTCCTGCATTTGAGATTCGTGTAACCTGCATCACAGTAATCTACTGTCTCACTACACGTATTGCCTGGTCAGTATTACACATTGTCTTGCACAATTGTGTATTTTTCCTGCCTGATATTTCTGAATAACCTTTGTTCCTAGTAGTGCCCTTTCTAGTCTTAGCTGCCCCCCAATTCTTCTAAATAACCTCTGTTCCTTATGGTGCCCTCTCTATTCTTAGCTGACCCAATCCCCCGCCCCTCCAATTCTAATTCTTCAGAATAACCCCTGTTTCTGGTAGTGCCCTTTTTAGTTTTAGCTGCCCCCCAATTCTTCTGAATAACCCCTGTTCCTGGTAGTGCCCTTTCTAGTCTTAGCTGCCCAGTATAATTTTTGGTAAGTGTTCATTATCATTTTCCTTTGTTAGCAATATTTGCCCTCGGGTTAATGCTCTTTGCCTTGCATCTCTCTTCTCTATGCTTCCTCATCTGGTTTTCTACTATGTAGGTGTCCTGTCTTTTGTTGCCATTGTATACTGTACTTTTTTTATCCCTTGGTATGATCTTTTTTAATGCTTGCCTGTTGTTGCCAGCTATATACAATCCCAAAAGCAGGAATACTCGAAGTTGCCTATAGTTGCAATATCTCCACTTTCAGTTACTCTGGAGAGGACAAAGCACTCCCAGCCTTTTCCTCTTAAGGCTAGGTTCACACAGGTGATTTAATGCGTGGATTTAGCCGTGCGATATTGCACAAAACAGAGTTTTGCATTCAAGTCTATGGAAGCTGTTCACACCTTGCGATTTACCACATGGTAGAAATCGATTGTCGCGCAAAAAGGTGCAGGAGCTAGCTATTTTCGGGCGGTTTGTTGTGCGATTTGGGTCCCATAAACATCTCTATCCATTGAAAACTGTGCAGTTAAGCATAATTGCGTAAACAAAAACATGCAACAACCTAGCCAAAACAGCTCACCAGCTCAATCGCCTAGGTGTGAACCTAGTCTTATATTTACCATCAGTTGTGATGGCAATGAGTATCCTATTTGTCTCTTTAAATTTGTATTTCAGTCTCTATGGAATTCCAACTGATCCTCTGGTATCTGACCTAAACCTTGGTTTCACGTGTATCTATCTGACCTCTGTCATCCTCGAACAAAAGCCTAGGGCCTTCGAAAACCTGTCAGTTATGATCAGCAAAGTCCTAATTGTTTCATTTGTTTGTATTAAAATAAAAATACACATATAAGACTTAAATACATTTATGAGTACATGTGCATCAAGTTCCCATGTATCTTTTTTTATCCTAATATTAAAGTACTGTTAACTCTGTAATGGTTTGCAGCCCATATTTCAATATTCTCAGTTATTTTGAGCTGTCGAGAGCTACCAGCAGATACCAGGTTATCCACTCTCCAGTGTGGCTTCTCCACAGTATTAGGGAACAAGTAAAAGTGTTGCACAAAGTTGATTGCAAGTTGTAATTCGAGAAAACTGGTGTTATAGAAACAAAAAATATTCATAGACTGTGGGGGGCTGTTATATAAATAGTGTAGATTTATTGCAAATTAAAAAAAAATTATAAAGTGTCTTCCAGACAATTTAATACCCTCATGCTTGATTGTCTTGAATGTTTATGTATATGTTTAAATGCTATTAATCATTTCTTTCATTAGTGTAAATAGAATTTACTTACTGGTCATATAATGCTGTGTGGCTTAAAGCACTGTGGGTATATGTCCTCTATGTCACCTTAATAAACTATTATAGTACTATACAACATTGTTACCTGAAGCCCTTTTAACAATTAGCTGTGTCATGGGAAAAAAACGCATACATTTGCCTATGTTTCCTAACAGGAAAGTAATTTGCTTAGTTTAGCTGCCTCATCAACAGAGAATAAATTGGCTGGTAACCAAGTTGTTGTTTCAATTTACTTACATGGCGAGATGGCATATACACAAGTACAGTAATAAGAAAAGTACATAACATTTCCATTTTAGGAAGCAGAGACTTGTCTTTGTTTAACCATGCGCTCATATCCTAATGTTGTCAGTGTAAGAACATCAAATAACAAAGCTTACTAAGTCATGAACTGTGCCAATTTATGTCTGTAAAACAATAGCAATGTTTTGATCTGGTATGTCAGAACTGACTACAATGGAAGCACTAGTAGTCTTTTAATTACTCTGAACATGATCACAGGTTTACTGTGTATGTTTTGAGTCTTCGTTAACAGTCAAAAAATTACATGTATGAGTATGCCGTGGCCCCTTCATTATATAATGCTGTAAATAATATTTTAACATACACACTAAAATGCCATGGATGTACTCCAACAAATGTTTATAAGCAGCAGTTTATTAACATGTTAATACTGAAGCCTAACTCTAGGTAAAATGTTTTTTTGTTTTCGGGTTCGTTCACAATACCCCTGTTGGGTTGCATTGATCAACGTTACCCAATGCAGCCTCATTGCATAGACAAGACAATTTCCCTTATGTCCTGCTACGGGACAATTTCCCTTATGTACTGCTTCAGTTTTCACCTACAACGCATCGCAATGCACTGCCAAATATAGACTTAAAAAAGGTGTAAAATTTAAGTTAAAAAAAACAAGCAATTTTGAAAATGTATTGCAGCACACATGCACAATGCATAAATAAGCCCTTAGATATGTTAGAAGGGTTAGAACAATAATATTAGGTCAGAGAGAAGAACCTGTGAGAGCTGTGGGAGACACTGGAGGTCAACACTTCAGGAAGTGTCCAGTTCCTGTAGGACTTTGGGGTATAAGAAATCTTATCAATGCGATGTTTGGCAAATTGAGCACCAGTAAAGGTGAGTATTTATACTGTTCCTTTACATGTAGCAAAGGTTTTAAGCACTATTTTTGTGACAGGGTCGATTTAAGTGTAGGTTAAACAATAATTTTAAGGCTTAGGTTTGGGGTTGAGTGTTAGATGATCTACTGGCTGCTGCCCTCCGTATCATTCTGTGCCCTACCAATAAACTGCTTCACACAGAACCCGCCTAAAGTTGCTGCTGGACCTGGAAATAGTGGGGAATCAGTCACCTGGGTAGACCTAGAGGAAGACGATTCTGGGCAACCAGTAAATATATTAGGTTTATGTATATATGATCAGCATTCGAAGGGGGTGGTGGATCTTAAGTATTTTTTTTTACTCTAGTTCTGCTTTAAGATTAGTGGATGCATAAATTATAGGGACAGGAGATACTTGGGGTGAGGGTCAAGGCATGGGTGCAGATATGGATTTCTTTTTGGTATTGAGAGATTCATACCTAAATGTAATTTCATCTAGGTCCCCCATGCCCAACATGTCCCACGTGGAATATTTGGCCTTCACAACCCATATCCAAGTTGTGCTAATTTTACATATTTGGTTTATTTAACAGCATTTATGTAAAATGCGAGGACAATAACCTAGATCCTTGGTTCTCAACTGGTGGGTCGTGACCCCGTGTTCAGTGGGTCGCCGCGTGCCTTCTACTTTTCCAGGTGAGAGGCTCCTCTGCCTCCCCCTAGCACAGCATTGTCAGTTCTCATGCCAACAGCCATTCAAATTATGCTGTCCGGCGCCGAGTGTCAGCTTGAGGTGGGGTGTGCAGGGGCTGTGGCCGCGAGGGAGCTCCATCCATAAGTGCATTGCTTTCAGCTCCCTCGTGTGCCCTGTAGAGGTGCCTGGACCGGAGTGACATCACATTCTGGCTCCTGACACTTCTACAGGGTGCATAAGGGAACTGTAAAAGCAATGAACATATGAAGCTCCATCACAGGACAGCAGCCCACATTGGACCCCCCAGGCTAGCGATCCACTCCAGTTCTTGTAAGGTAGGGAGACTGGGTGGATCTTAAAAAGAAAAACAAATGTTTATTTGGGAGTGTGTGTGTGTGTGTTTGTGTATATAGGTCAGTGTTTTTTAGGGCCTCTTCACACTAGTACAGTGCAATTAACCCAATGTACCAAGCAATCGCACCTACCGTGCATTCTGGTATGGGAAGTGCGTTGCGTTGCCATTCATTTGACTGGTACCCCAAACGCACGTCCCACCCACAGTTCGTACGCCCGCACTGCAAC